AGAAATACGGCAATCCATGAGGAGTTGGAAATACCAACAATCCCAAATTATTTTGCACTCCCCGCAGAAAAATTTTATGAAAATATTCCCAATGTTAATAATAACTCAATTACTGTATTTCATTATGACTATACACTTGATGTTAATAGCAAGCGCCCGTTTGCGATCTTAAGACATCTAAATTAACTCTGTTTTTCTTATAACCAAATTATGTAAACACCCTCCCTTACTTGAGCTTTGTTTTGTTTTTATGAATCTTATGAATTGACTTGTACTGCTGCCTGACTTATATTCTTGTATATAATGTACATAATTCCTACCTTATCTTTTATATATGTTTTCCATATTATGTATTATTTAAGTATCTCTGGATTATTATGTATTTATGTGTACCCAACTGTGTTATAATGAGTGGCCACACGGACGCTTGTTCGGACTAGCAATAGGAAATTTCTTCTTTACATGCCATTGCACACTTACCTCCGTCTAAAGGCTTATCAGTTCACTGGTTGTTTCTTCTGGACTCTATCATCGGTTCGTCGTATGAACTCTTATAGTGATCGAATTGTCAAGTCAATTGCTCGATGCTCAACGAATCGAAAATCGCACGCATATTATTCCGGGATAGCGTTGTCACGCGGGCACCCACTTTGCGATAACTTATCGAGTTTGCCTGAGCCGAAATATTTTCCAAATACTCTCCTTTCTGACTTACACCGGTAAATGTCGACATTCACCATGTGCGAATGGTGAATGTTGAACATATAAGAATATTATATTTTCTTCTCCGTAATTCATTCTCGAAAAAACGCACTTGACACTTAAAATAAGAACTTAAGAATATAAGAACTTAAAACACGCAGTACATTCAAAATGAGAAAGGAAAATAATAGAAGTTAAAAACTTAATAAATTATGTGATTCCAATCTTATTTATAGCAACAACTTAAACTATTATTACACTTTGAATTGCACAAGAGGTCCTTGCTTTTACAACTGCATTTATTTGTGAAACATTTCCTTTTGCAATGACAGCATGTACATATACCTCTCTCTTTTCGACCTACACCAGAGCATATCTGTGATTGTCGACATACACCAGTAAGGGTCAAAATGTACAAGAATGTAATGCAATATTCGATTTTTCACAAACGCATTTGGTGAATGTTGACATTCTCCGGTGAAAGTCGACATTCTCCAATTTCGGTCTTTCACGGTTGTTTACGTACCTCGTATTAGAATGGCGCCGACATGGATGACGCAGTTTCGACTTTGAATATACTTAATAAATTCAGTCACTCTCTGTCTATTTCAACCAAACTGAATACATTTAATAATATAACATTCACACGTAAACATTTAGTAATAATTCAGAAGTACAGATAAGCATAAAATAAGAATTACAACCGTTACAGGCCAGCTACGTTTTTAGCGACCGAATCCTACGAACGACAAATCTCAATAAGCATGTTGCCAACGCAGGGCAACGAAAAGGTAGAAATTAATTCGATAGGCGTGGCAGTGAACAACGGTAAACATATATATGAATATGAGAGAGATTATGTATACACTTTTATTTGTTTCGGAATATATATGTATGTAAGTGTGTATACACTGAAGTAACAAAAGTCATGGGATAGCAATATGCAAATATACAGGTGGCAGTAGTATCGCGTAGAAAATGTATAAATGCGAAGTGCTTTGGCAGGCTTTCATTTGTTTCAAGTTATTCATGTGAAGAGGCTTTGACGTGATTATGGCCGCACGACGAGAATTAACAACTTGAACGCGAAATGGAGTTGAGCTAGAAGCAGGGTCATTCCATTTCGGATATCGTTAGGGAATTCAACATTCCGAGATCCATAGTGTCAAGAGTGTGTGCGAGAGTATCTATTTCAGGCATACATTCCACTATGGACAGCGCAGTGGCCAGCACCTGCACTTAACGACCGAGACCAGCGACGTCTGCTAGAGTTGTCAATGTTCACAGACAGCAACACTGCGTCAATAACCGCAGAATCATGTGGGACGTATGGGACGTACAATGCGGGCGAAATTTGCCTTTCTTGGGCTATGCCAGCAGAAGACCGACTCGGTGCCTTTACTGACAGCACGACATCGCCTGTAGCGACTCTCGTGGGCTCGTGAGCATATCGTTGGTCCCTAAGGAATGGAAAACCGTGGGCTTGGTCAGATGATCACGATTTCACTTAATAAGAGCTGATGGTAGGGTTCGAGTGTGGCGCAGACCCCACGAAGCCATGGACCCAAGTTGTCAACAAGACACTGTTTCAAGCGTGGTGGTTCCATAATGGTCTGGCTTGTTTTTACATGGCTAGACCGGTCTCTTGTGCAACTGACCGATCATTGACTGGAAATGATACTTCAGCTACTTGGAGATCAATTACAAGCCATTCATGGACTTCACTACTGAAACAACGATGGGATTTTTATGGATGACAATGCGCCAGTCACCGGGCGACAATTTCGGCGAGTTAAGAAGAACATTCTGGACAATTGCAGCGAATGGGCACCTAACGCCCGACATGAATCCCATCGAACATTTATGGGACATCATCGAGAGGTCAGTTCGTGACCAAAACCCTGCACCGTCAACACTTTCACAATTATGGACGTCTATAGAGGCAGCATGGCTCAATATTCCTGCAGGGGACTTGTTGAGTCCATGCCACGTCGAGTTGCTGCACTTCACCGGGCAAAAGGAGGACCGACAAAATATTAGGAGGTATCCCATGACTTTTGTCACTTCAGTGTATATCTGTATCTGAGTTGGCATTTTGTATGGTTGGAATTTGTATAACTTCACGTTTTATAGCATCTTCCAGTTCTGCCGAATACCGCGGTCCTTACTTACTAATACTTACGATCTTTTTATGAGATTTCACGTTTGATTTCGATAATTTTTCTCTAGTAGTTGTATTTTAACTTGAATGTTCCTTTTTATCATTTTCTCTGTTACTATTTCAATGAAATAGGAATTTTAAATTGAGATTAGATTAATATTATTATTTTATATCATAATAAATAGCAAAAAATTAATGTATTTCCATAGACGTAAACTTACCTATAGGAGAAGGAAATGTTATGTAAATGGCCAAGTTTGAAATCCGGCATTCTATAGAATACCTAAAACTAATCGGGAATGTATGAAATGATTGGTATTTCACACTTCTCCTAGTCAAGCTATAGAATGCCAAATGACAAACAGGCAAATAATAAAATACATTTCCGATTCGTTTCAAAGGACACAAACTACTTAACAAAGTCAATAAATGATATAAAAAGGCCAAAATGACTATTGAGAAGGAACCACGGGACTACTGGCTGATGAACAACTAGAATGTGGCATTTATGGAAAACAAAATTACATTAATTTATTCTGTTAAAGAAAGCGTCAGTACTACACAATATGACGTCACTGACGCTGAATAATTTACCGTACTTCATGAAAATACATCTGAGTGCTGGACACGGACGACGTGACAGAATGTTGAAAGAACTTTCAACCAAATACAAAAATGTTACAAGTAATGATATTGAACTGTACAACCACCTTCGTGAGCTGTGCCGGAAAAAACAAAAAGGTTTTGAAAAGGGCACTGTCGTGAAACTTATGATTGTTTCTGAATTTAATTTCCGTTTCCAGGTAGAGCTTACCGATTCCCACTCTCAGCCAGATAAAAAATACAAATTTATTATGCGTTGGTTTTGTTGCTGATGCTCACTTATCTGACGTATAGGCTGCCCAAGCCCACGTAATTAGTCGTGCCAAGGAGCGCAAGTTTACACCTATTTTTGGCAACAGCCTTGAGCACCTTTTAGGTGACAGTGCGATTTAGCTTAGTTCCGCCCCCAGTTTTGATGAAGAGCTCTCCTGTAGACGGGTCTGAGGGCCTTCCACACCTCTTCCCCTATCACTAACCTCCCGAGAGGAATTTCGGCTTGCCGCATATTTAGAGTGCCCTCATGCCGCATGGACACTATACATTTACAAACATCCATGCCTTATCCAGGATTCGAATCCAGGCCCTTCGGCACGGAAGTCAGTGACGCTAACTACTATACCGGTTGGGCGACAATTTATTATGCTGTACCAAGATCACCTCCCTTTTTTTTTTTTTTTTTTTTTTTTTTGCATATTTCGAATAACAGTATTTTAATGGCACTCTTGCATTAATTTTTCAAAATAACATTTGTATTTTTGAGAAATGAACGTCTTTTAAATAATAGCTTAATCATATTCTTTTTTTTTCAGACTTTGCCTAAAAAGCATTTTTCACATTCTATAGAAAGCCTTGGTATTATATACTATGTCTAGGCACTATTATATACCATGCTTAGGGAAAGTATATAATAATTCTCATATTCCATACTTTGCCTAAAAATGTCCGGCATTATATACAATGCCTAGACATTCATATGCTAGCTTTTCATATTTTGCCGGTAACATATATATGTATATATATATATATATATATATATACATATCCATGGTTTTATATCCTAACCTCCTGAAAGCAATTATAAACCAACGTAAATATGAATCCCAAATTTGAATATATGTTTCAATTCCAGTTTGAATTCTTAATTTAGCGAATGCTCTGCAGAGTGCAGCCTCGCATTCAATTCAAATGCTCTGCCATCAGAATATTGTCTTCGCTTAAGCAAATACTCTATTAGAAATCAGTTTCGACGAGCAACTGAATCTGTATTGCAAATGACCACCAATATATTCAAATAGCTCTCGAAGCAATCAGCAACAAGGATTGAGGGACTTAGGATTTCCGTAGGTAATAAATTAACTCTGTCTGTGATGGAGTTCGCTTGCGATTAGAAAATGATTTTGCGTTGTCATGCTCTCAGAGTGCGGTTTAAAATTACACACTGAAGGGTTGTTTGGAGAACAAATAAATAGCATTTCATAAAAGCCAACTATATTCCTAACGTCGTGTAGCTACAAAAGAAATTATTTTGTCTTACCTGCCAATTATGGATTTTAGATGAAAACTGTTTACTTTCATTGACGCCATTGATAAGTTACCATCAACTGAAATATGAAAGGTGAAATAAATTATAACAATGACAAATATTACACTGCAGATACGACAAAAATTAAAATTAGGAAAAATTAGAGTATAAGACTTTTGCATAACACTGGTATCAAATTTCTAGTCATATATATATACACATATAGAAGAAATATTGAATTTTTATTTTTTTCTGTTCTTTTATGTGCGCATACACTCACAGCACATACACACTAGCATAAACACACAAGAGCAACGATCTCTTTTTCATTTCAATGCACAAGTATAAGGTATTTAATTTCTTTTATATATGCTTGCAAAGGTTTTTATACAAGTAATTAGCAGCACCAAATTACACTGATGTTACTTGTCATATTATGTTAAGGGAACAGTTAACAATTTGTTTTAAAATAAAGAATTATGGTACTGTCCTGTTATCAGGACAAGATTCAGAAATGTATGAATGTATACCCGTGTATATGTATGCATGCATGTGCATATATGTGTATATATATGCACACATATACTTCCGTACTTATAGATATGCATGATTACATGAACACATTCATTCATACATATACCATTTCAGGATCCGATCCTGATAACCGAACAGTACCAGAATTAATTTAAATATCAGTCATATTTTAAACAGATAAATTACTTTATCTTCCAATTGAATCCTGATAAATTCTTTATCTTCCAATAAAGGGCTAACAAAAGAAGCTTTAATATCCTTTGCTTCAGAATAAACAATACATACATATATATATCATATTTTAATGCGCAGATGAAGGAATCCGGTATTTTAATTTTTAGCCTCCGAAGACACTTTATGGTGTAGTTAGAAGGAAGACTACATAAACCAAAAACTTCCATATATGGCATTTTCGAAATACAATTTTATTGCAGAATAATTCACATCAGATCATCTTTCTGCAGACAAGATATTTTCGAATCAAAGTTGTTTAAATGTACACGGGTTTCAAAGTGCGACGTCAGGCAAATAAGCAACAGCGCGGAACAGGAGCGTCTTGCCAGGAGGACAGCGTAAGCGAGATAGACGTAGCGATTCAGAGGAAGAAGGAAGGAGAAGGACGTAGCAATTCAGAGGAAGATTCAAATTATATTATTTAAAAAGTTTCAGTTCCGAGTAAAAATGTTTTGGTTTACAATTATTTGATTGGACAAGAGGTATCTGCATTAAGCGTTACGTAGGATCGCACGATTAATTTGAATGACGCAGTTTAGACTTATATAGCGCTATTTTTAAGATAGAGAGATGAATTTCGCAAGTTAACCTTTCAGCACGCGAGCTTGGGAATTTTACATAGCACGCGCACGTCGTATTTTTTACGACATCCGTTATTTTACTGTTTTTTGACACGAAAAACGACAGAAATGAGCGAATATTGATAATAAATTTGTTAAGAAATATATATTAATCTTATTCTTACAAAATACAAATGATATCACATTCAAATATAAGTAAATTATTTTTAAGTTCTTATGTTAGTGAGATGGAAATGCAATGATGTATTTCATTATAGAAAATTTTAAATTTATTATTTAATAATTCTATTTTAAAATCGAAGCTAATTTTAATATTTATCAAAGACAAGTATAGACAATAAAAAAGGAAAACACCTTGGTAGGGAAAAAAGTAAGTTTAGCGTTACTTACTTCTACAAGGAAATTTACTTCTTGCTGGTTACAAAAACGCACTTTAAACTAGCTTTAATGTTTTTATTTATTTCTAAAAAATAGAAATAAAAGAAAATAAGAAATGGAAAGAAAATAAGGACTGAAAATCGCTATTGTTCTCCCATCCAAATATTGTTTTCCTTCATCAGATAATTCTTGAAGAATCCGAGCAAACTCAGCTGGTTGCACATATTTTTTTGACATGAAAACCGATATAAAATTTAAAGAGTCAAATTTTATTCAAATTAAAATAATACACAGCAATTAATAATACAAAATTACAAAATATTTGAGAAAAAAATATTTTCCGAATTTTAAAACACGACCACGCGCGTGTCGTAACTTTTATGAAAAAGCTGCCACGTAGCACAAAATCCCAATTAAAAAAAAGTCAAATGACTTCCTGTTGGCACATTCCATGATGTAGGGGAAGGTTAGAAAGGAGGAATAGAAATGGCCTTCAGAAGTCTCAGCTTCGATGTACGAAAAATATGCATTAAAAATTGAATTTGTCGTAAATTTTGCGCATACGCGCGTGTCGTAAGGTTAAATTAAAAATAAAAGAGGTTATAGCTAATTAAAATTAGTAGTTTACTTTTATACTTTTTATTTTATATATATATATTTTTAAATTCATGTTGAAAATTTATATATTATGGTTATTTAATTAATTATGTTGATCAAAATTTTACGATACGTTTTTCTTCATTTGCTAGCTCTTTAACGCTTTTTCTTTAAAAAGGCTTCTCTGTCGTTACTCCTTTTTCTCCTTGAAGAGGGGAGGGATATGCATACTTGCCAACTATGACACTCAAAAATCAGGAGATTTTTTTAAGAAATCAGGAGATTTTTCACAATGTTAAAAAGACTTTTTAAATGATAAAAATATAGTTTTTAATAATGAATTAACTTTAAATAGTAACTAATTCTTAAATGCAAGCAACAAAAAAATACCTTACACATAAAAAACATTTTTATTACTTGCATCGTTTAAGAAAAAAAAAAAAAAAAAGACATTTTAGTTTTTGTACAAATGTTATAAACAGTGGCAGATTTTGCTTTCTTTAAGAAAGAAACTTCATAATTTTGTTCACAGCAATTGCCACGTAGGCCTGTTTTCGCTAATAAAAGTTTTTCGAATGTGTCATCACTAATATTAGATCTAAATTTAGTCCTCGTTTTCGCAACAACACTGAGAATCCTCTCACACTTTGCATTACTATAGGGAACTGTCAAGATGGTAACACAATTCTAGACAGTTCACTATATTTTACAGTTCCATCAGCACTTTTCACTTTTCCAATTAAACTCCACTGGGTGTCGATCCTAGCTGATTTTATAACTTCATCCAAGTTTTCTAATTGTAAACTGCTGTTATGCAGCTGTTACAATTAGAAAACTTGAATGGATTGTTTCAATTTTTCCTTCCTTTTAGAACTCCTTTCAAGATAATAATAAATATCAAGGATGTGTTCATCCACATTTATTGGTAAAGAAGCTGCCCCTTTTTCAGCTGCTAAATTTAAGAGGTGACAGGTGCACCTCATAATCTGAATTTTCCTTTTCTTAAGATGCCTGCAACACCAGTCTTCCAAGCCTACCAATACTGGTGCATTATCGGCACCAAGTGCTAAGCAATTATCCAGAGGGCCTGCATTTTCTTTTAAAGTTTTAATAATTAGCTGTGCTATATTAAAGCCTGTCAAATGTCCTTCTAAAGTAGGAACATAAAGTAAACTGCACTCAAGTTTTGAATACTCTGGATCAAAAAAAGAAACAATTGGATACAGTTTTGAATCGGTATTATTACTTCCATCCGTAGAGAGGCAGAAAGGAGCTGTTTTAATGCTATCAATAACTGAAGATTTATTTTTCAAACTCATTTCTTTAACAATTGATCCTGTTTTGATTCTTGCACTTTGAGTATTTTTTAGCGATTTCACTATCGGGGAAACATTTTCTAAATAAAGCTGCAGCGTGATCCGATGCATTCAGTGGCAGGATGTGCCTCCAGTAAAAAGGCAGAGAACAGACATTCTGCATTAATAACTTTTCGGTCCTTTGTTTCGAAGAAAAATTTAATTTTCCGTTTTTTTTGAAAACAACTCATGTTATCCTTGTGTTTTTGCGTACGTACATGTTTGAGAACATCCGCCCTTCCACCATGCGAAATCGAAAATCGCAACGACGGGCGGTACACATCGCAAATTTATTACATTTCTTTGAGGAAATAATGGAATGAAAGTCAACTGTGTACGATTTTGAAACGTACACGAGTTTTCACTTTCTCGCAGACGTAACGTAACAAAAGATGATAATTTCTAAAACTATTTCCCTAAGGCACGTGTACTCACAAAACTCTGGATGAAATGAAAGAAATAACTAAAGCACGTCCAAATAACAACTTACTTTGTCCTCATTGGCTAATATATGCCAGCTGACACGCAGTGGAGCTCGAAGCGCATTGGAGAACTGGAGAACGACGTTTCTGGATACGTATAATGCTCTCACTCACCAAAGCAGAAGCTATCTGATTAGCAAGGTTTTGTTTTAGATATAATGTAGAATAATTCAATTGCTTTCAGACATCCAAAAGGACTTTGTTTTTATTCATATAACAAAGTATTAAGCCAAGTTGCATAAAAGTGTGAGAAATTTTAAGAATAAGAAAAAGTCGGGAGAAATATATTGTAAATCGGGTTGGCGGGAGAGCAGTCGAAAAGCGGGAGTCTCCCGCTTAAATCGGGAGAGTTGGCAACTCTGGATATGTAAGCTATAATAAAATATGATGGCTTCTTTAAGAAATAATTGGCGACCTCAAAATTAACTATTCTAGATTTGGTGATCTCACCCTAAGTTGATCCTTTCTCCTAAATTGAGATCGTTCCAAATTACATAACACTGCTTGAAATAGGTAACTAAAAGTAAAATTAACCAATCACGGCTTAGATTCATATACGCACCTACGCAATATAAATTCTGCTTCGTGAAGAACTACGTCCCTTTATTCCTGACTTCTGCCATGCAAACATCTCAACGCTGCTTATGATTTCCTGCTTACGTCGTACTTTTAAAATCAGTCTACATAAAAATTTGTTGTATTCAGTGATGATTGAAAAATAGTTTGTCTGCCAAAGAGATAATTTAACATGTATAAAAATAAAGATGGTGATTCGCTGAAATTAGTTTTCTTAATGTCTTCTTTATGTCTTTACCTACGCATAAAATATTACATATATATAACAGAATTTTATAAAATATTATTTTCACAAAATCAAAATTGTATTGTCCTATTTTTTCCCTTAATATTACTTATCGA